GGTATGAGATGACATACAAACCACCTACCCAGATGACCAAACAAGCTCAAAGTGAAAATTTAACAACGTATGCACACAACAATGAACAATTTTTCATTAGAAATGATGAAAAATTCCATACCCAGGCCCTAATTTCCCATCATTTCCCCACCTAAACCTAGAATCAAGGTACCCAGCAGAGAAAAGCTCTAGGATTTGGATCCAATTACAAAAGGGCTAGAATCAATTGCTATAAACTCTAGATAGAGCATATTCTTACCCTGGAGCATTCGACACATCATTCTCACTAACTCTCTCAATCTCTACCATGGTAGAGATGACAAAAGAAGCATAATAACCCTCGATTTTACTTGAAAAGAAAAAGAAAAAGGAAATTGCGAAGAAAATGAGGGTTTAAGAGTGAAAATGTGAGGTACCTAAATTGGGAAAGAGAAAAATTGAAGAAGGGACAGGGTGTGTTACCTGAACGCCAGGGGAATCGAAGTTCATGACGCGAAGGACCACGCGGTTGTTGAGGGAGGCGTCGCGAATCAAGTCGGCGGCGTCGGCCTGGAAGAGATTGACGCGATCGACAACGATGATGGTGATGACCTGGTAGTGACTTGGGGTTGTTGGAAGAAACTGGGGACGATGGCTTTGTCAAGGGGGATCCTGCGGTACATGACGGTGAAGCTGGACTGGCCGTATCGGATGCCAACCTTGTTGGGGTTGGTGGCGGCGAAGAGGAGGCGAATGGAGAGGGAGAGAGAGGTCATGGAGGGGGAGTGGATATGATGCCCATGTACTGCACCCCCACCTGGTCCAGATCGAACTGCAGCTTCTTCGGCTTCAACGCTAATACTGACAAAAACCTATGTTGCACAGAAAAGTAGAAGAGAGAAAAAAAAAATTAACATCGTTTGTACGGATTCAACGGAAGGGACTTTATTGACGCAAATTCTATCAAGTGAGGACACAATTAACGCACTTTTAAATGATAGACTAATTTGACATATTCGAGCGAAACTGGAAACAAAATAGGCTATTAAACCTTTATTGAATTATAAAAGAGAAGAAATGATATGGTCCTTGTTTGTTTTTCATGAATTTGCTTTACCCCTTGAGTAATCTTTAGAATTTCGTAATGTTAGAATTTTAACTTTTTAATCTTTCAATTGGAATATAATAATAATAATAAATACTAATAATAATGTTATTATTATTATAAGAAAAACATTGTTATCAATGTATACCGCACGTTATTGTTCTTAATAAATTCGTGTATAACGTATACTATATATTTTATTAATAGATAATAAATTCAAATGTATTTTTATTAGTATATACTGCCCGTTATATTAATTTAAATATAAAATTACAATTTTATATATATATGTCCTTTTCTTTTCTAAGTTTAATTTTAAAAAACATATTGTTCTACGTGTTATCATCTAAGAGGCGAAATTTAAGAAATTTTTCTTTATATCAAAATGTTTTTTAAGAATAAAATTTCATATGATTTTTTATTTTCAATAAAAAATTATTATTATTATTATTATTATTTTATTAAAACATTCTACAAATATTTTATTGAAGCTGAAAAAAGATTTCGTCAAATACTGTGAAAAAATAAATATTATTATTATTATTATTATTATTATTATTATTATTATTATTATTGAAGTAAAATATTAGTATATACATGTCATATATAGTTTGTTAGTGTATGGTTGTTAGTGTATGGTTTTAGTTAAGCCCATTGCGGCTTGGTAAATCACTTATGTTATGCAGTAATATATTTTGTTAAATATATATTGTTCTTTATTTGCAATTAAATAGTTTAATTGTGATATCTTAACTAAAGTTACTTCTTCAATGTACTAGTATTTTTACTTTATTTTTCTTCAAACGCTGTGTCTTCAGCTCTTGTATTTTTTTTTTATATATTTATTTGTTAATAACATGTGTGTGAATTGTATTCAACCCTAGCTGTCACTTGTTTTGGATGCCATGTGATGAAAGAAAAGAAATGTATCTTACTGTACACCAGAATACACTCTGACATACATAATTTCTTTTCTCAGTTTTTATTTATTTATCCTTCATAATTTTACCACTTCGTCCCAACACGACAAACAAGGAACCATGATCCGTAATAAAAGTAAAAGTATTTAAATAGTAAAAATCAATGAGATACATGCATGAACTCTATTTATTTTCCTCTCTCTCTTGTATCACTCACTGAATAATAGAACATTTCTCTATGTTTCTCTCTTTCAACATTTTCGATCGACAACTAAAAACATCCTTTAGTCTTTCTACTTGGCCCAATGTTCGTGTTCCATGAGTTAACTATATATAACTTCCACAGTTGGACGTTGTGTATATCTTGTCCGCACAGTTAATCAATGTTCAAACTTGAATAAATACATTGCTGTAAACAAAATTGATGAATCACCTAATTGATACTTTTCATTTGTTTGAAGCTTTCCTGTTACATCGAATCATCTATCTCTCTCTTGTATCTTTTTATCTCTTCAGTCTCATATTAACACACAAGGTGTGCGTGAATCATTTTTCTGGTGAGTTTTGAGGGGGTGTCGTTTCCTGGTTTAGAGGAACAGTATCTTTGTCAACAGGGTCAGGTTCAGGTGCAAGCTTAAAAGGAGTGTTGCCTTCTTTGTCTACGGCAAGTGGATTCGCCCCCCTGAAATAATTGCTAACTTCTTTCACTAAATTTTTTAACACCAATTTTAAATATGTCTATCCAATTCCCTTCAGACGTGTTTCAAAACAATTACCTTGTAATAAGCACTTTTGCAGTTGCATGCTTCCCCATCATAGTGCAGTAATGTAGTGGTGTCTTTCCTTTAGAATCACTAGCATTTACGTCTGCCCCATACTGTAGGAGTAGCTCTACCATTGCAACATCACAATTTCGGCATGCTAGGTGAAGGACACTAGAACCATCTTGTACGTCCTCCTCTGTTTGAGTTGAGTTTTCGTATGATGTGTTTGGATCGTTAGTTGAAGAAGCCATGTTGCAAGAAAAGCCTGAACAACAATGCATTATTACTCAAATAGGGCTTTCATCTGCTTTTTAAATTGGCTGGGGATAAGAAGTTCTACCTTGTTCACGACTAATAGCATTGACATTCACATCTGATTTCACAATGTGTCGGTACACTGCTCTCTTGTCATTGGTATTGATGCTTTCTGCCACCTGTTGTGAAAGGAGATCGTTGTTCTTTACCCGGCAAACAAACACTTTTGCATCATACTGCAAAAACACAAACCATGCATCAACTTCTCTCTCCCAGACATACTTCAACACAAGTTTTTTATCAAAGTTATCTTATGTATAAACATCAAACGCCATGGATATTCATTCCCTTAGGTGCATAAAAGGTTCATTAGTCTTTCTAGCTTATTATTACCTTTGCATGAATGAACCTCTCCTTTAGTGAAATAGGATCATCATGTGATGGTTTTCTTGCATGAAATAACTTTTTCTGCGGCTTCGATGATCTACATATTGTAAGATGTATGTTAGTGAAAGTTTAAACACTTAATCCCATCAATCTTAGAAAAACTCACCCATCAGGATTCTCATCTGTTTGTGAAGAACATGATGGTTGCAACAGTTCTTCCCAAACTGAGTTTGCAAAGAGATTCCCCAGTGACTGAAGCATGCTCAAGACAGCTGAATCCCATACTTTTACATCAAGGGTCAGTGATCTTACCTATCAAAAAAAAAGAAATTTGACTCACCTTACTTTTAAGGATTGAAAACAAAAACCCTTTTTAAGTACTGTACAGAAATTTCACTAAATAGTTCCTTCAGTTTTTAACCAACAAGAAAAGACAAAAACATGATCAACTCAGAGTTCATTACACTGTAGCATGATCTTCAATTACTTACTTTTGATAAATGTACTCCAAGATTCCGATGGACACCGGAACATTCAATGCATATGAGGATGCCAAGGTTTAAGGATGCCCAATCTGGATCAGGTTTGCCGCAATCAGCACATTTGTCATTGCCACCAACTTTCCTAAGAATATCAATTGGCTTTTCACATTTTGTACTTTGCTTATTCTTCTGCAAGTCTTCGGATGACATAGAATCCCCATTCAATGCTAGATCATCATCTGGACAACCTTTTAACAAAAGAAGCTTGTTGGCAGAGTGACCGTTACCATTTTCTGACACATCAGACTGTCACACATTCACGATTAATACTGGCATCAGTGGATGCAATTACAAGACTTGTTAAAAAATGGTTTAGGAATACTCAGGCAAGACATTCCTTAATATCTGTGATTGAATGAGTGTGTAAAGAAAAGGCAAAAAGAAAAGAAATATGACGTACCAGTGTCTGTACACTCAATAAGGAGGCAATTACACCAGTTATCTTTTCCATCCAATCCATCTGATCCACAGCATTTTCTGCCTGCATGATGTTGGGTGTGGTGAGAAGATAAAAAGCAAAAGTAGAGGTGAGTAAATGTTGGGAAATGCATACCTGCAATGTGTAACTCTTTGAAGGTGAAATAATCCTGAAGCAGAATCTTAAATCCGATTGTTCAGCATCAGACTTGATTGTTGATGTGAGCAGGTTCACTGTGTGACGTGCTACACATTTGTCATCAGGCATGACTCCATGGTAATGTGAAGAAAGAAGGCGACTCAAAATTCCAGCACTATTATCGGTGGCACAATTTCTGTGTAGGGATGATTGATTGCTACACTGATTAAGATCATGATATTAAAATCAGCATTATCACCTGGCTAGTTAGTTAGAGGGTATGTGCCTTGGTTTTAGTTGGATACTTACATGTAATCCATTCCATGGTTTACGAAAGTAGTAAAGCATTCCACGACTATCAAGAACAAAGAACCTTCTCTTCCAGTCACCCCTCAAACTTGATGATCGTTTAGAGAGATACCCTTGTCGAATGATTTGAATCTAAAAGTAGTGCAGATGGGATTCAAAATCCATTCATGTCATTTGGAATTTGTTTTGTAGTTTTTTCTGAGTGAGACATTATCATGAGCTTAGATAGATACCTTTCCATTTTCGGCAGACTCTGTTATAGCATCTGCCACTTTATTTGATATCCTTGAAAAAGGATGCACTGGATTCCCATCTCTAGTGGGAGAAATGTAAGGGCCAGTCAAGGACATCATGCTTTCTTGATGAACATGTTTTTTGTACTCCAGCATTCTTTCACAAAGACGAATCTGCTCTTCATTGTAACTTTCTCTTGCCTTTTGTGTATAAGCCAAAACCTGCAAAATATCAGATAAATATTCCATTCATAATAAATCAGGAATGCTAATAATATTTTTAAATCCACAATTCTTCTCAATGTGTCACTTACACTACTATACTTAGCATTTTGAATGTATCTTACTAGCCTTCATATAATCAAAGAAAATTACCTACATTTTAATAAAATTACATGGAAAAGTGATTCTTTTTAAGTTTCTGATTCGATTTAAAGTTGAAGCAACTCCAGGTAAATGTTATGCTATATAAAAATCACTTAGAAAGTGTGTTTCCTAAAGTTACAAGATAAGTTTAGAGTAAATAGAAAAACCTCGACAATGAAAGGCTCCAGCTCATGTAATAACTGATATCCCTGCAAAAGGGAAAGAAATTTTAGAAACTTTACAAGTGCAATATTTCATATTGAAAACGCCAATGCCATATATAACTGCGTCATATACCTGTCGATAATATCGAAGATGAGCATCCATAACACCAGTGACAGCCTCCAAAAATTCAAACCTCTTCTTGGCCTCAACATTATGAAGAGCACTAACCTAGAAAACAAGATGAAATGTGGTAAGAACTTTATTTATTCATNATCCGTAATAAAAGTAAAAGTATTTAAATAGTAAAAATCAATGAGATACATGCATGAACTCTATTTATTTTCCTCTCTCTCTTGTATCACTCACTGAATAATAGAACATTTCTCTATGTTTCTCTCTTTCAACATTTTCGATCGACAACTAAAAACATCCTTTAGTCTTTCTACTTGGCCCAATGTTCGTGTTCCATGAGTTAACTATATATAACTTCCACAGTTGGACGTTGTGTATATCTTGTCCGCACAGTTAATCAATGTTCAAACTTGAATAAATACATTGCTGTAAACAAAATTGATGAATCACCTAATTGATACTTTTCATTTGTTTGAAGCTTTCCTGTTACATCGAATCATCTATCTCTCTCTTGTATCTTTTTATCTCTTCAGTCTCATATTAACACACAAGGTGTGCGTGAATCATTTTTCTGGTGAGTTTTGAGGGGGTGTCGTTTCCTGGTTTAGAGGAACAGTATCTTTGTCAACAGGGTCAGGTTCAGGTGCAAGCTTAAAAGGAGTGTTGCCTTCTTTGTCTACGGCAAGTGGATTCGCCCCCCTGAAATAATTGCTAACTTCTTTCACTAAATTTTTTAACACCAATTTTAAATATGTCTATCCAATTCCCTTCAGACGTGTTTCAAAACAATTACCTTGTAATAAGCACTTTTGCAGTTGCATGCTTCCCCATCATAGTGCAGTAATGTAGTGGTGTCTTTCCTTTAGAATCACTAGCATTTACGTCTGCCCCATACTGTAGGAGTAGCTCTACCATTGCAACATCACAATTTCGGCATGCCAGGTGAAGGACACTAGAACCATCTTGTACGTCCTCCTCTGTTTGAGTTGAGTTTTCGTATGATGTGTTTGGATCGTTAGTTGAAGAAGCCATGTTGCAAGAAAAGCCTGAACAACAATGCATTATTACTCAAATAGGGCTTTCATCTGCTTTTTAAATTGGCTGGGGATAAGAAGTTCTACCTTGTTCACGACTAATAGCATTGACATTCACATCTGATTTCACAATGTGTCGGTACACTGCTCTCTTGTCATTGGCATTGATGCTTTCTGCCACCTGTTGTGAAAGGAGATCGTTGTTCTTTACCCGGCAAACAAACACTTTTGCATCATACTGCAAAAACACAAACCATGCATCAACTTCTCTCTCCCAGACATACTTCAACACAAGTTTTTTATCAAAGTTATCTTATGTATAAACATCAAACGCCATGGATATTCATTCCCTTAGGTGCATAAAAGGTTCATTAGTCTTTCTAGCTTATTATTACCTTTGCATGAATGAACCTCTCCTTTAGTGAAATAGGATCATCATGTGATGGTTTTCTTGCATGAAATAACTTTTTCTGCGGCTTCGATGATCTACATATTGTAAGATGTATGTTAGTGAAAGTTTAAACACTTAATCCCATCAATCTTAGAAAAACTCACCCATCAGGATTCTCATCTGTTTGTGAAGAACATGATGGTTGCAACAGTTCTTCCCAAACTGAGTTTGCAAAGAGATTCCCCAGTGACTGAAGCATGCTCAAGACAGCTGAATCCCATACTTTTACATCAAGGGTCAGTGATCTTACCTATCAAAAAAAAAGAAAGTTGACTCACCTTACTTTTAAGGATTGAAAACAAAAACCCTTTTTAAGTACTGTACAGAAATTTCACTAAATAGTTCCTTCAGTTTTTAACCAACAAGAAAAGACAAAAACATGATCAACTCAGAGTTCATTACACTGTAGCATGATCTTCAATTACTTACTTTTGATAAATGTACTCCAAGATTCCGATGGACACCGGAACATTCAATGCATATGAGGATGCCAAGGTTTAAGGATGCCCAATCTGGATCAGGTTTGCCGCAATCAGCACATTTGTCATTGCCACCAACTTTCCTAAGAATATCAATTGGCTTTTCACATTTTGTACTTTGCTTATTCTTCTGCAAGTCTTCGGATGACATAGAATCCCCATTCAATGCTAGATCATCATCTGGACAACCTTTTAACAAAAGAAGCTTGTTGGCAGAGTGACCGTTACCATTTTCTGACACATCAGACTGTCACACATTCACGATTAATACTGGCATCAGTGGATGCAATTACAAGACTTGTTAAAAAATGGTTTAGGAATACTCAGGCAAGACATTCCTTAATATCTGTGATTGAATGAGTGTGTAAAGAAAAGGCAAAAAGAAAAGAAATATGACGTACCAGTGTCTGTACACTCAATAAGGAGGCAATTACACCAGTTATCTTTTCCATCCAATCCATCTGATCCACAGCATTTTCTGCCTGCATGATGTTGGGTGTGGTGAGAAGATAAAAAGCAAAAGTAGAGGTGAGTAAATGTTGGGAAATGCATACCTGCAATGTGTAACTCTTTGAAGGTGAAATAATCCTGAAGCAGAATCTTAAATCCGATTGTTCAGCATCAGACTTGATTGTTGATGTGAGCAGGTTCACTGTGTGACGTGCTACACATTTGTCATCAGGCATGACTCCATGGTAATGTGAAGAAAGAAGGCGACTCAAAATTCCAGCACTATTATCGGTGGCACAATTTCTGTGTAGGGATGATTGATTGCTACACTGATTAAGATCATGATATTAAAATCAGCATTATCACCTGGCTAGTTAGTTAGAGGGTATGTGCCTTGGTTTTAGTTGGATACTTACATGTAATCCATTCCATGGTTTACGAAAGTAGTAAAGCATTCCACGACTATCAAGAACAAAGAACCTTCTCTTCCAGTCACCCCTCAAACTTGATGATCGTTTAGAGAGATACCCTTGTCGAATGATTTGAATCTAAAAGTAGTGCAGATGGGATTCAAAATCCATTCATGTCATTTGGAATTTGTTTTGTAGTTTTTTCTGAGTGAGACATTATCATGAGCTTAGATAGATACCTTTCCATTTTCGGCAGACTCTGTTATAGCATCTGCCACTTTATTGGATATCCTTGAAAAAGGATGCACTGGATTCCCATCTCTAGTGGGAGAAATGTAAGGGCCAGTCAAGGACATCATGCTTTCTTGATGAACATGTTTTTTGTACTCCAGCATTCTTTCACAAAGACGAATCTGCTCTTCATTGTAACTTTCTCTTGCCTTTTGTGTATAAGCCAAAACCTGCAAAATATCAGATAAATATTCCATTCATAATAAATCAGGAATGCTAATAATATTTTTAAATCCACAATTCTGCTCAATGTGTCACTTACACTACTATACTTAGCATTTTGAATGTATCTTACTAGCCTTCATATAATCAAAGAAAATTACCTACATGTTAATAAAATTACATGGAAAAGTGATTCTTTTTAAGTTTCTGATTCGATTTAAAGTTGAAGCAACTCCAGGTAAATGTTATGCTATATAAAAATCACTTAGAAAGTGTGTTTCCTAAAGTTACAAGATAAGTTTAGAGTAAATAGAAAAACCTCGACAATGAAAGGCTCCAGCTCATGTAATAACTGATATCCCTGCAAAAGGGAAAGAAATTTTAGAAACTTTACAAGTGCAATATTTCATATTGAAAACGCCAATGCCATATATAACTGCGTCATATACCTGTCGATAATATCGAAGATGAGCATCCATAACACCAGTGACAGCCTCCAAAAATTCAAACCTCTTCTTGGCCTCAACATTATGAAGAGCACTAACCTAGAAAACAAGATGAAATGTGGTAAGAACTTTATTTATTCATTCCATAATATTCAAAAGCAGCATATCTTGCTCAACTAAGATTACCAGATTGAAACGAGATTCCTCAAAGGAGGTTCTTGCATTGTGCAATTCCTGGAATGTCTCTCTACCAAATTAGATTGAAAAAATAATGGTAACCCATGATAAGCTAAGACAATATTCATGAATGAAAATGCCAAAAAAAAGCTACATGACCCACCTCTTCTACGACAGTGGCAACATCAATCTTAGTGCTTTTTCTCAGTGACATAAACTTCTCACGTGCCTGTTGAATAAAATCAACGTTGTATTTGTGTTATGATCAAGAGTCAGAGGTCAATGAACTTTTAACAGATTGTGTTATCTAATTTGTTTTAAAAACGCCATGAATTTCTTCTTCCCAAGGAAAAACTTGTGTTGATCATGACATGACTTGTACATTCACTAGAAGGGTAGGGAAAACATGGAAGCAAAAAACATTACATTGTGCAATTTTTTTAAAGCTATTTAGAAGCACCTGATCATGTACAATGGAAGCTTTCTCAAATCGCCTTCGAGCTTCCTGCAAGCAACAGATAAAACATCGACGATGAAAAAAGTCGTTTGAAGGAAAAAAATGTTTGGCTGAACATAAGAAAATCAACTCTCAGAAGCATTATCCTTTTTGAAGGTTGTCAAATTTTAAAACTGAGTTCCATCTTCAGAGGTAGCTTTTAATTCAGTGTTCCTTGTTTTAAGTTTTTCCTTGTATATAGTCCTTATTAAAGTGTAAGGCGAATTCTTAAAGATAGAAAATGTAATATAAATTCTAAAATAGTGTAGAAAAATCTAAGATAGGAAGAAGAAAATAAAAAAATTCTATATAAAAAAAATCTAGAATATTCTATATAAATTGTGACTAGTACTTTTTAAAAATATCTGAGTCTATAAATACTCATGTATTCTATCATTTCATGTAAGACAACATTTACCACAACTAAGACAACTACAAAATACACTTCTTTCACATTCTACTATTTTCACATTTGTTCTACCTCATCAACTATTTCTTTCACAACCTTAAAATACTAGCAGTGGTATCAAAGCTAAGTTTGGTCATCTACTGGGCGTAGATAAATTTTTTCAACTACCTCAAACAAAACTATAACTCCATTCTATATTACTTCCAAAATATTTTCTCAACCCATGACTACTACCAATCAAACATGACCAATTCCAATACCTATTTTCGCAGGAGAAAATTATGATTTTTGGAGTACCAAAATGAAGACATTCTTTCGCTCTCAAGATTTATGAGACATTATAGAAGAAGGATTCACTATTCTAAAAGACACCTCTACTCTTACTACAACTTAGAAGAAGGAGTTGAAGGAAATAAGCAAAAGGATTCAAGGGATTTATTTGCTCTTCAACAAGCACTAGATGACACAATTTTTCCAAGAATAATTGGTGCCACACGTGCAAAGCAAGCTTGGAAATAATATAAGAGGACTTTTAAAGAAGTGATGAGATACGCAATGTTAAACTTCATTCTCTAACACAAGAGTTTAAATTAATAAGAATGAAATAATTTGAGATCATTAAAGACTACTATTCTAGAATAAAAGAAACGGTTAGTCAAATGAGAGTCTATGGAGAAAATATTCTTGACAAAAATATCGTTGAGAAAATTTTAATTTCTATTTCCCAAAAATATAATGCAATCACAACTACGATTGAATAAACACAAGATTTGGCTACACTGTTAGTAACACAACTAATGGGCTCTCTTGAAGCTTATGAACAAGGATTGAAAAGGCGGGAAGAAGACTCAATCGAAAATGTCTTTCAATTAAAACTAAAGTTACGGTCTTAGAATAAGGAATATAAAGGAAATAAAAGTACATGAGAAATTTCTAGAAATAAAGAAAATTCTAGAAGCTCCTTTATGACTTGTCAAGGAAAATATTCTCCATCTGACAACTGTAAAAAGACAAGTCACTTGGATAAAGATTGTTGGCGTCTTGGAAAACTATATTGTCAATACTGCAAGAAATTTTTTCATGTAGAGAAGTATTGTCGTACTAAAAATAAGCATCAAGAAAACTTTACGAAAGAACATAATTAGGAAAAACTCTTATTCTACGTCAATCAATAATCTCCTAGTGGTGAAGGAAGTTGGTACTTAGATAGTGGATGCAGCAATCACATAGCGAAATATCAAAGCATCTTTAAAGACATTGATAAATTTGTCAATGTCAAAGTTCGACTAAGAAATGACAGCACAGTGGAGTCTCGAGGCAAATGAACTATCATGGTGGAGACAAACAAAGGTACAAAATTCATCAAGGACGTTTTACTAGTTCCCAATCTTAAAGAGAATCTTTTAAGTATTGGCTAAATGATGGAGAATGGATATGCTCTTCACTTTGAGAAAGATACATGCAAACATTATGATAGTAGAAGGATAAAAATTGGCCTAGTAAAAGTGGAGAAGAGATATAGAAGCTTTCATATAAGCTTCAAACCTAGAACTAATATTGCATGAAGGTAGAAGTTGATGACTCATGCCTTTGGCATAGGAGATTTGATCACTTCAACACACATTCCTTAAAGCTTTTATATATAAAAAAACATGATAAGAGATCTTCCGTACTTGAAGGAGAATAATGAATCATGTGAAGGATGTCTCCTCGACAAACAACACCAATTACAATTCTCGACAAACAAAGCATGAAGAGAAAAAGACTTATTGGAATTGATTCATATTGATGTCTGTGGACCAATAAGGACGCCTTCACATCACAAGAATAGGTATTTCATCCTCTTTATTAATGACTTCTCTAGAATGACATGGGTCTATTTCTTAAAGGCAAAGTCAGAAGTCTTCGGAGTATTCAAGAAATTCAAGGCCCTTATTGAGAAGCAAACTGGAAAACAAATAAAAGTACTTATAAGTGATTGTGACAAGGAGTACACATCACACGAGTTTGACAAATTCTACGAAGATGAAGGCATAGAACGACAAATTACAGTCACATATACTCCACAACAAAATGATGTGTCAGAGAGAAAGAATCGCACAATCATGGAGATGGCAAGATCAATGCTAAAAGAGAAAAGTATGCCTAACACTTTTTTGGGCTGAAATAGTTTACACTGCAATTTTCATTCTAAATATATGTCCAACTAAGAAAGTCTAAGACAAGATTCCTATTGAAGCTTGGAGTGGAAGATCATCAACTAAACACCTCCAAGTATTTGGATCTATCTGCTACATACATGTTCCTTATCAAAGGAGGCACAACCTTGAAGACAAGACTATACGAGGAATATTCTTAGGATATAACACACAGTCAAAAGGCTATCGAGTCTACAACCTAAAAATAAAAAAACTCATCATTAGTTAAGATGTTTAAGTTGATGAAAATGCTTCTTGAAATTGGGAAGGAGAAAAAGTTTTTAAAAGTAACATTTTAGTTTCAGTGCAACAGTCTCAAGAAGAAATTCAATAAGAGGTAGAAGATTTGGGTGTGCTTTGTCCACCTCTACAACAACAAAAGCAAGATTCTTCACCTGAATCCAACCCTAGAAGAGTAAGATCTTTGGTAGATATATACGAAACTTGAAATATGGTCATGATTAAGCTTAACTATTATGAAAAAGCATCAAAGTAAGAAGAATGAGTCTAGGGTATGGAAGAAGAGATTAGAATGATTGAGAAGAATAACACTTGGGAGCTCTTACATTGCTTTCATGGAAAATATATCATTGGAGTGAAATTGTTATATAAATTAAAGCTCAATTATGATGGAACCATATAAAAGCACAAAGCAAGATTGGTTGTTAAAGGCTACTCATAGCAACCAGGAATCTACTACAATGTGACATTTGCTTCATTTGCTTGCTTAGATACAATTAGAGTTTTAATAGCTCTTGCAGCACAAAAAGGTTGAAACATCTATCAATTGGATGTCAAATTAACATTTATAAATGTAGTGCTCGAAGAAGAGATTTATGTTGAACAACCACAAGGCTTCATTAACAAAGTCAATGAAGGAAAAGTACTAAGACTAAAAAAGCCTTATACAACCTAAAGCAAGCTCTTCGAGCATGATATTATAACAATATTGATCAATACTTCATCGATCAAGGATTCAATAGGAGCAAGAGTGAACAGACACTATATATTAAGACACAAGGTCAGTATCATCTCATTGTCTCCTTATATGTCGATGATCTTATCTATATAGGAAACAATATATAGATGATGAAAGAATTTAATGAAGACATGATGAAGACATTTGAGATTACCGACCTTGACTAGATGAACTATTTCCTTGGTATATAGGTGAAACAACAAAAAAACATATATTTATCTCTCAAAAGAAATATATTGAAGCTCTACTAAAGAAGTTCAAGATGAATGATTATAAATTTGTCACTACTCTGTTAGTGGTAACGAGAAGCTACAAAAATATGATGCAACACAAGAAGCATATGCATCACTCTATAGGAGTTTGATTGGAAGTATCCTGTATTTCATAACCACATGAGACATTGTGATTGCTACAAGTCTTCTATTCATGCAAAATCAAAGTCAGATTCATTATGGGATAGGAAAAAGAATTTTAAGATATCTACAAGGCACAAAGGAGTTCGGTATATGGTACAAAATCATTATTAACTCAAGGATGATTGGTTACACAGATAGTGATCAGGCATGATCAATGGATGACGTAAAAAGTATGTCAAGATACGTTTTTTCACCAGGATAAGGTATTTTATCTTGGTCATCAAAGAAGCAAGCAAGTATGGCACTATCAACAACAGAAGCAGAGTATGTAGCAATTGCTAAAACCATGAGTCAAGCAATATGACTACGAAATATGCTTGAAGAAATGGGTGAGTCATAAGATGGACCGACTATTATGTATTGTGACAACAAATCAACAATAGCAATAACAAAAAATCCAGTCCATCATCAAAGAACAAAACACATAGCCATTAAATACCACTTCATTCGAGATGAAGGGACAACTAAACAAATTTGACTCGAGTACTATCCAAATGAAGACCAAATTGGAGATATTTTTACGAAGGCGTTACCAAGACCAAGATTTAAGCTACTACGCACAATGCTTGGAGTTACTAAATTTGAATCAAGTAAGAGTACTAAAGTGTAATGCAAATTCTAGAAGAATATAGAAAATCTTAAATATATGAAAATTTAATACAAATTCTAGAATATTGTAAAAAAACCTAAGATATATGAAGAAGAAAATCAAGAATATTTTACATAGGTAAAAATCTAGAACATTCCACATAAATGCTTTCTAGAAAAATATATGAGTTTATAAATACTTACCATGTGATATAGGACAACAACTACCAGGACTAAAACAACTACAAAATACACTTCTTCTAACTATTACTTTCACATTCTATTATTTTCACATTTTTTTTTCTACTCCATCAACTATTCTTTTAACAGCGTCAAACTACTAACATTATTATAACGAAGTTATTCCATCATAGTCACAATTTCATTATTTTCAAGTAATTAATTTTTCTTAGTGAACCAATAAAATATTAACATTCTCCACAGTAATAATTATATTTAAAACATTTAAAAATTTCTTGTACTCAATAAGTACCTTGACATCTAGGATATCCACGTTTAGCATGTTCAGTAAGCGGTCATTTAGCATGTGCTCCGCCTAAGAAAGCCACATTAGAAGTAGAGTCAGTTTAGCATTCACAATTATAACAACTCTTTCTGTACTATAAAATCTTAAGAAAAGGGAATTTTTCAACTATATTATCTAGTCTAAGCAAATTTTAAAAAAGGCATAGATAAAAAATATGAACCAGAAGAAACTGTTAACTCATTAAACACATAACAGAAGCTCAGAAACTTTTATAATGATGTGTGCGATAAAACCAAAGTTTCACCACTCGTGGCAACAATGGATAAATCATTACCTGTGACCGAAGAACTTCCTTATGTGTACCCATTTCTCTAAATGCAATAGCAAATTTGGTCATAACTGGTCCTGATATGAAATAAAATATTTTGTCATTGTATATTCAAAGAAAGCATAATATAGAGATATCATGCTGTGTATACACATCCAGTAACAATAAATGACTTGTTATTCTCAACCTAAATTTTCATGCTAGCTCATCAGGGCCAGTTTATAACTCAAGAAATAACCTCAAAAAATACAAGCAGCAAGCATATCTATATAGGTTTACTTAGAAGCTTACTTTATAAAGAAAACGTTACAGGAGGAAAGAGATATCAACAAGACTTACCTCCCAAAGTTACAAATAGAGGATCATTATGCCCTCCTCCAAAATTTTCAAGGGCGCTTGCAAATGCAATATCTCCATCATATGCATCTCCAATCCCTTCCCTGTTTATCATAAATATAATAGTAATTACTTGACACAAAAATTCATATACTTACAAAATACTGATCATTAATTAAACTAATTTATACAAGTGCACAAGACATATACAAAAGTTTCTGGAGTTATTATATATTCAGAACTATCTTGCTGTCTGAGACTTGAGGTTTGACAAAAATCATTCCAGATTTAAAGTTCCAACATGCCCTAAAGATGAACAAGTTCAGGTATAAAAGAGGTTTTGACATTTCTTGTATTTATATTGAAGTATCATCAAGTATGGGCTTTCTTAGGAGAGAAATATCCTACGATTACTACGTATTCAATTAGTAACACATACATAAAAAAATTAACAAAAACAATGGTATGGAAAACCCACGTGTACTTTCGAGATCCTTTGTAGAACTTGAAACATCTCGAGCGTAACGATTCTGCACTCTCTTCCATGCACTGAAGCTGCATAATATCAACACCCATTCATTTCAAGAACATGCACCACCATACTAACCATAACCACGTATATAAAAAGGACAAATATATATTGACCCTTCTAAAAATCAACGAATGAATAAACCATGCAAATAAACAACATTGCGTAACAGGAACGTATCAACACAACACCAACATTGTTCTTTAATATGTATATTTTTTTTCAAGAATCTTGTGATAGATACTGTAAGGGTGAAAGAACAAACAGAACAGAACCTGTTGCCGGAACATGGGCGAGTCATTGAGTTTTGAGAAATCCATTTCCGGAAAATAATAAGGATTAATATGAATATTCTTGTCTTTTTTTTTATTTTGTCGTTCTTCTGTCTTGTTATTTTGTTTTCAGGAGAAGTCCTATTGTAATAGTTGGAGAGACGAAAGAAGAAGAACAAAAGAAGGAACAGGTATTTTTTGTTTAGTTTTTGTCAAGATTAATGTTATTTAGAGAGCGCAATTGAAGGTTTGAAGTTGTGGTTAGGGATTTGCACATGTGGCTCCAAAGCTCATCTGGCTCTTATGTTTCTTTCTCCATCTAGTCACACCCTGTCACACTCAAACAACTGGTTTCCAACTCTAACCGTTTATATATTTTCCTTCAATAGGGGTCATTCCACCCTGCCTTTGTCTCACCTTTCAAAAATATATAAAAAATTAGGCTAAACAACCTTTTGCTACATATACCACATCATTATTTTTTATTTCTTTTTTTCCTGATTTTATCTTTACTAAATTTTAAAATTCAGTTTTCCATATTCAAATTTATATGGTAAGTGAACATAATTACTTCTTTCCTTCAAGTAAAAGGTAAAAGTATAATTATAACTATTCTTATCATTTTTATTTTAATAACGAAGATAATTTTCAATACATAAAATGTACTTTGTTTTCTTAATATTGAGATAACATATTCAAATCAATCGGGTTTAAATCTAATTGCTAATTATACTTTTAGTTAGAATAATTATAGATTAATCTATATTTAATTTAATATTGAGTTAAATATGTTTTTAGTTTTTAAACAATTGGATTTTATTTTTAGGTTTAATAGGTTCGGAGGTCCCTATATTTGCGGGTTCGTTTCAGTTGGGTCCTCCAATTTTTAAAGTGATCAATTGGGTCCCTAATTTGGTAAATGTGATTCAATAATAGAATCTCCGTTAAATGTAGTTAACGTACGTTAACTTTGTTATGAAGTGGAAGCTGAGGCATCCAGGCATCCTTCGTGGATTTTTATCATTTTTAGAAATTTGCGGCGTCCATGGCATATTTTAAAAGCCATTAGATTAAGCAAGAGCTTGGTAATCATTCTTCTTGTTCTTCTTCCCTCAGATTTCGTCATTTTTTTGTATCTTGAATCAATTGTATTTTGACCTACACCCGTTGGCAATGAAGCTCCCTGTGCGGTACTTGATTGTTATTTTGACCTTCATCTGCACCTCAGTTTGCTACATCGAACGAGTAGGGTTTTCCATCGCTTACACCGTTGCTGCTGACGGTGCTGGGGTGAATCAATCGAGCAAAGGTACAATACTGTCCACCTTCTATTACGGATACGCCTGTTCTCAAGTTCCCGGAGGATGGGCTGCTCAGAGAATCGGGGGGAGGAGGGTCCTGCTTCTTTCGTTTCTTTTGTGGTCATTGACTTGTGCACTTCTTCCTCTCGATCCCAATCGCGTTATTCTTTTAGTCGTTGCTCGTTTGCTCGTTGGTGTAGCACAGGGTTTTATTTTCCCTTCCATTCACACAGTTCTAGCACAGTGGGTTCCCCCTCACGAGAGATCTAGATCCGTCTCTCTCACCACTTATGGGATGTATCTGGGTGCAGCTCTAGGAATGCTTCTTCTTACTCTGGTCAAGTTCAGAGGCCCTCAATCTGTGTTCCTTGCGGAGGCGGCATTGGGTGCTTCATGGTCTTTACTCTGGTTCAAATACGCCATTGATCCCAAATCCATTGCTTCTGGTGTTGGGGAATTAGTCTTACCCATCAATAAAAAAATGGACTCTCACAACAAAAAAATACTTTCAGCCAAAATCCCCTGGGTCAAAATTTTAACCAGCTTCCCTGTTTGGGCGATCGTTGTCAATAACTTCACCTTTCACTATGCTTTATATGTGCTCATGAACTGGCTCCCAACCTACTTTGAATTGGGCCTTAAGCTTAGCCTGCAAGACATGGGTTCCTCTAAAATGTTGCCCTATCTCAACATGTTCCTGTTCTCCAACATTGGTGGTGTTGTTGCCGACTACTTGATCACCAGGAGAATATTATCTGTCACCAAAACCAGGAAATTCTTGAACACCGTAGGGTTCTTGGTTGCTTCTCTTGCCTTGGTGGTGATTCCCAGTTTCAGAACTTCTGGTGGTGCTGTCTTCTGTTCTTCTGTGGCTCTTGGTTTCTTGGCACTTGGCAGAGCTGGGTTTGCAGTGAACCACATGGATGTTGCTCCGAGATACGCTGGAATAGTGATGGGTGTTTCTAATACTGCGGGTACTTTGGCTGGCATTGTGGGCGTTGACCTAACTGGGAAGCTTCTTGAAGCTGCTAAGGCTGCTAATTCTGATCTTTCAAGTCCAGAAAGCTGGAGAACAGTGTTTTTCATTCCTGGATTTTTATGCATTTTTAGTTCGTTTGTATTTCTACTATTTTCAACAGGGGAGAGAATTTTTGATTGAAGTAGCCTTGTCAATTTCATGGCTTAAGAGGTGTTGTTATTCTGGGGATTTAATTTTTATTACATCTCCAAGTTATATCATTCTTGGATAGAAGAGGTCATGTTGTTATAACCGGATATGATTTTTTCTGTTATTATTAGTTCTCCAGCTTGTACCATTCCTGGCTAGTAAAGGTTAAGAACAAGGTTTGAAAGTGTTATAGCAAATTGTAAATACTTGTTACAACCCTACCTCACACTGTCAATACCAAAATAAAAGAAAAAAAGAAAAGTCTCTGGCTCAACTGAAATTATAGAAATAAAGAACACTTCTATTCTAGGTTTATCTCAACTTGACAGGAATTTTATGCAGTTTTGTTAAACTTTGATATTGTTTGAGTTTTAATTAGGATGTTGAGAGATATATCCAACAAGTTTAAGAAATTCCTCCCTTTCCCCACTATTTTTTCCATTGAGATCTCAAAGTGGTTAATTACTACTTTCAATGTTGCAGAAAGAACATCAGGTCATCGATATTCTTTAAGCTGAGATTAATGTACATGACCATTTTGCTTTAAACACTGCAAAGGTAGGAAAGTTAAGCTGCTCTATGTGAAGGTAATCTCATTTTGTAGCTTGTGTTATTATAATGATTTCTACATAATGAACTTGTGTTTAAAATATAAAACTTTTTTCAGAATAATTTCTAATACAAATGTTGAGGACAGCTGTGATTTATATGATTCATTAGCCATTGAACACACTATCCCACTTATATTAGTATAATAATTTAACAATTAATACTTAAAAATTGTATTAGAGATTAGGAGTATTTCAGAGATGTTCAAGAAATTTCAAGCATAATGCATGAGAACAGTATGGTAATTGTTGTCAGTAGGATATTAAGTGCATTACTAGAAACTGTTAGAAAGTTATAGAGACCTATCTGTAACTATTACTCTAGGGTTAGAGTTCTCTATATGTAGAGGTAGATAAATTGTTTCAAATGAATCAACTGGATAAAAACTCTTTCATATTAATCCTTTCAAGTTGGTATCGGAGCTCTCATCTTGGGATTGGGAGCCCTGCATTTGCATTTGTTCTATTTCATTTTAGTTACAGTTCTTTTTGGGTTGCCTGATTCTTCATTCTCCATTTTACTTGAGATTTTTGATTTTAAAACGAGACACTACTCATTCTTCCTTTCCATGTTTTCAAATTAATTGATACATGCTATAGATTTAAAACCATTTGGTGACCTGCATATCATATTTAAAGGCAGGTTTGCTAAACTCATTCTTTATATCAGGGTTTCATTAATGTGCTTGCTTCCTTTGTTACGTTGTTATGTATTTTGACATTTGACATTCAGGTCATTTGTAAGGCTGGAATTGGGCAACTACTCTGGTGCCCTCCAAGATGCTGAAGAGGATTTGGCATTAGCTCCCCGTGACTCGGATTCTTCCGTTATAAAAAGAAACAAAAAACTTGCTTTCCAAGTAGGTGTCAGTTAAATTTACAGCTTCTTGTATGAAGTCTGGACTGGATTATTAAGGATGCGCTGTTATTGCTAGTCACATCATTCAATCATTATCTTTTATTTAGGAAAGACTTCGTCATGCCTTACTTTAGTGTTGAAGAGTAGCACCTGAAGTTAATGAAAAATTCTGTGGAAGAAGAGTCTTTGCCTCACAGTTTTGATTAAAATTTATTGAAATTAACAAAACTCAATGAGATTGATTGATTAAATGAGAAGTGAGACTCAAAATTTTTTATTTTTTAAAGGGTCAGGCTAGGCTGACAATTTTGATTGGAGGTTTTGGTTGGTGGTCCGTAATTTTGATCCATTGGATTAATTTTATTATTGCTGGCTACACTACACTAGATTCCCCATCCTTTCCAGCAATCCCCTATGTGAAGGAGAAACTTGGAAATCTTGCATCTTTATGTCTGCAATTTGTGAAGCAGTGCCGAAAATCGAAAGCCAGACAGGTTCCTCAACCTGGCCTGTTGTTGGACATTGTTTGCTGCATGCCCCTTTGCTGGATAGCTCTGGTACCTTGCTTTTGTAGCTATTTACCTAAACCTTCCAGTCTTCCATCCTTGGTCGGTGCCATTGGGTTTCAGTTTCAGACACAGGTGGTGACACTTAGCTAGCGGAGAGCTGACTAGTGAAATCGGGCTGTGTGGGCTACACGTTTTTCAGTGTATCACCTTCGTTAGTTGGTTCCTGACTTGACTATTAATATCTAAATATCCAATATCAGAATTTTATGCTTTTCTTCAATAAATTATTAGGCTGTTATTTTTTGTTTAGCTTCCCTGTCCCAACCTGCAATGAAGTAAAAAGGGTAAACATTCTCATTCCAATATTATTATGATGAAATTTGACTGTCTGTTATNTTGCGGCGTCCATGGCATATTTTAAAAGCCATTAGATTAAGCAAGAGCTTGGTAATCATTCTTCTTGTTCTTCTTCCCTCAGATTTCGTCATTTTTTTGTATCTTGAATCAATTGTATTTTGACCTACACCCGTTGGCAATGAAGCTCCCTGTGCGGTACTTGATTGTTATTTTGACCTTCATCTGCACCTCAGTTTGCTACATCGAACGAGTAGGGTTTTCCATCGCTTACACCGTTGCTGCTGACGGTGCTGGGGTGAATCAATCGAGCAAAGGTACAATACTGTCCACCTTCTATTACGGATACGCCTGTTCTCAAGTTCCCGGAGGATGGGCTGCTCAGAGAATCGGGGGGAGGAGGGTCCTGCTTCTTTCGTTTCTTTTGTGGTCATTGACTTGTGCACTTCTTCCTCTCGATCCCAATCGCGTTATTCTTTTAGTCGTTGCTCGTTTGCTCGTTGGTGTAGCACAGGGTTTTATTTTCCCTTCCATTCACACAGTTCTAGCACAGTGGGTTCCCCCTCACGAGAGATCTAGATCCGTCTCTCTCACCACTTATGGGATGTATCTGGGTGCAGCTCTAGGAATGCTTCTTCCTACTCTGGTCAAGTTCAGAGGCCCTCAATCTGTGTTCCTTGCGGAGGCGGCATTGGGTGCTTCATGGTCTTTACTCTGGTTCAAATACGCCATTGATCCCAAATCCATTGCTTCTGGTGTTGGGGAATTAGTCTTACCCATCAATAAAAAAATGGACTCTCACAACAAAAAAATACTTTCAGCCAAAATCCCCTGGTTCTTGGTTGCTTCTCTTGCCTTGGTGGTGATTCCCAGTTTCAGAACATTAATGAGAAACATTGGTTAATAATTTCTAAAAATGATAAAAATCCACAAAGGATGCCACCTGGATGCCTCAGTTTCCACTTCATAACAAAGTTAACGTACATTAACTATATTTAACGGAGATCCTATTATTGAATCACATTTATCAAATTAGGGACCCAATTGATCACTTTAAAAATTGAAGGACCCAACTGAAACGAACCCGCAAATATAGGGACCTCCGAACCTATTAAACCTTATTTTTATTGTAAACATTCAATATTTTTATTTTTAAACTTTATTAATGAATGTAGTCCTATTAATTACCAAACGATATTAAATGTTTGCTTATATGACAAATGTAGTGTGTATATGCTATGTATGTCCATGTGACTTGGCATGTGTGTTTCTGGCATTGCTCCCTCTCTCCCTCTAATTCTCCTTCCTTAATTTTATATAACCTCTCATCTCCCTCCTAGTAAATTTCTAATTTATAGTTGTTTTTGTTTTGATTTTGGTTTTGTGAAATTTTCCATTTTCTTTTTCAGTATTCTATTCTTACTTCTCCACTAAAGCTCTTTCGGAGGGAATATACCACCTCTATCTTTGACCAAATTCTCTCCAACCTCCACGAGTACTTTCCAGAATCCTCCTTTATCTCCCTCAACTTCTGCAAATACTACAAGAAAGTAATGCATTTACAACAAAATAACCGCTAGCTAAACTCTTGTTGATCCCTCGCAAAATATGATAGGTAGCTAATCAGTGAGAAATTATTCCCTCACTATTTCTTGCAATTTTCATAGCAAATCCATCTCTAAATACTCGCTAATGAATTAAAGAGAACATGTTAATTTCCTCGCTAGTTAGGTACAAAAGTTGTTTGTTAATTTGCAATTGTAGAAAATTCTAAGTTATTTCCTATAAAATATGTAATATTCTCTAGCTTCTTCATAGCTAATTCGTAGCAAATTATAGGAATTTATTTCTAGCTACTTCCTAGTTTATCCGTAGCAAATTATCAACATTTATCTCTAGCTAACCCCTAGTTGATTAATAGAAAATTATAACAAATTGTCAATCCCTAGTTGATAGCAAATTGTATTAACTTAGCCTTAGTTAATCTCTAATTGATGTGTAACAAATTGTATCAACTTAAACCTAGCTAATCCTTAATTGATTAGCATAAAAGTGTAACTTTTCGTACATCTTCCCCTATAGTCCCAATAATAGGTAAAGGTTGAAGAGACCCTCAGGTGAAGATGTTTGATACATATTCTACTAGACAAGCTGCACAAGCTCCCATAAAATCTATTATTGTTTTCTTTATGTCAATCCAATATAAAAATTGAGCTATTCAATAAGTGTGAAAGCCCCTAAAGGTGACATGTGATATTTATGGAACAATTTTGGAATCTAGCTTGATGATGTTAACAAAACCAAACGCCCTTTGTAATGTAGTCATGTTATAAGTTATAATGAGCATACGAATTTGATTGACTTGTAAATCATCACTAATTTTCTTTAAACGTGGGTCTTGTCTCACTTCAGCATCAACTAAATCGACATCCTTCGAAAATGATTTGGATAACACATAGTTTTGGTTCTCTCAATTTTGCTTCTTCACATTTTCATGATAAGGCATTTGCCCCTTATTAACTATGCACACTTTTTATACTATTTCAAATTTGTATCCCAATATGTTATAGGTTGTGTACTGAGTGAGGATTCTAAGAATGAGATTATCATTACTCTATAAATATTGGACTCACATAAATAAAGATATTAACTGATGAGAGTCGATGAAGGTTCTTGTGATGTAGCTTACCATGTGAAAAATAACTATTTGATTGGTCACAAGAAATTTATCATTTCATAAGGGGAGGATTTAGTTTCCCAGCATGTGTGTTAGTATGTGAAATAAATTCAAGACATTGTGGTTATGCTTTGTTATATGTATGATGAGAATGTAATTACTTTCAAGGAAAAAAAATACTACATTAAGAGGTTGTAGGTTGTGCATAGAATGAGAATTCTGGGAATGAGGTTATCATTACTCTCACTACAAAAAAAAACTAGCATTAGCTACGACACAAATCTGTCAAAAACAGTCAAAATCCATCAATAATGATTGTTTATTTTAACATATTATTGACAACCTATATCGATAAAACTCTGTCTGTAACAATTACCGACAGATATAGACTGTCAATAATTATTGAAGGATGGTCCGTCAGTAATTATCGAAGGATATATGTCTTAGTAATTACCGATGGAAACATCCATCAGTAATTACTGAGGGATATATCCCTCGGTAATTATCGAGGGATATATCCTTGGGTAAGTTCTTCAATAATAGTTGTGGCAGATTTAAATGCAATGTTATATTGGTTATTTAACCCAACCAACACGGCGATCCAACACTGTGTCCTAATCATGTCATTGTCATCTTGACGGTCTTGTGATTGCTTAGGACATGAAAGTTGCTCTGATCTACCTGTGATAGTCTACTTGAAAAAATCTTCCTGTTCAACCATTATGCATAGTTGAATATTTCAATCCTTCAACTAGGGATACATGTAAGATAGTCAATTTTGTCTTCTATATTAGTTATATTTACATTGTTAGTTTCCAACAACTTAACTTTGTTGTCATAGGTACATGAACATAGTCATTGTGGACTAAGGTCGGTTTTCCATGTACGAATTTGTTGAACATCAGACCATCCAACCTTCTGGTAACACAGTTGAAAGCAAACAAAATTATTTGCAAACATGGATGACTGAGTCAAATAGAGACATATACCTTGTGCCATAGATTGATGGGTATGGGTTGCAAAATGTAAAATTTCATTAAAGTTTAGTTAATTAGTTTACTAACTATTTATGATTCATGATAGGTCTCACTAGCAAATGATGGTCGTCATTCTTAGACAATGCAAAATTATATGGTTTTGTTTGCTGCACAAGAGAATGAAAAATGACTTGAAAAACATGTTTCAAGGGTAAGTGTTTTTCTTTTTATGTTTCAAATTCATGTTGACCTTAAATTTTTATGATGAATATAGTTATATTAATATTACCTTGTGTTTTCAATATAAATAGAGTTATGGGTAAACCCCGAGGTCAGCTAGTTCAAATCTTGTATCCAAAGGTTGTAAGTCATTTAAGTTTCTTGTTCATTTTCTATGTTATTGTATGATCTACATGTGTGACTATTTAGTTTGTCATTTTAGTGTAACAAGCAGCTAGATTCATGGGAATGTGGCTACTATGTCATGTCTTGGAATAAAACCATCATTCAAGCTGGCATTACAGATGATTGGACTGAGGTAATGATTGTTTAACTCAATACATTACAAATCAAATTTAGCTTGAGCATATTGCAAACATAATGAATTTTTCTTCATTTTGCAGCACTTCAAGAATACATCTCCTATACCATATGAGACAATAAAAAGATACGACAAGAGTGGACAACTTATCTTTTGAAGAGATGGACTTAGGACCCATGCCTTTAGGAAGACTTTTATTATTGTTGAACATTAAGTAGCTTTAGTTTAATTTTAAGTTTTGATAGTTTAAGTTTTGGATTTGTTTTTAGTTGTTTAGTATCCTGTGGTTAACTTAAAACGCATAGAAATATTATATTGTGATGTGCTAGGAATCATTTTCTATTTTTCAAAGTGGACTTAGTAAAAATAAATTATTTTTTTAAAAAAAAATATATAAAGTAGACGTCGGTAGCTGCAGTATAACGTCTATTGGCATCCGTCAGTGCACTAACCGACTCATCTTCATTCCGGTGTTACTTCATGGGACCTTTACGCGCTCGCTTAGACGTCAGAATATTGGGAAAATCGAACCATTTTGACGTCGTGTTGGGGGATCCGACGTCTATTGACGTTTGATGAAAGGATTTGACGTCCCATTGACGTCTATTGAAGGATCCAAACTATGTCACCCAATTATGAGTCAAAGCGGGATAAATGCCAACCAACAAAAATCCAAAAATAAATACGCAAAAGCATTTTTTTAGTTAGCGCAGATACATTAATTGTATATTGATTTTCCTCTCATCTTAATTGAATTTTTAGAAAAAAATATTAAACTACACCGTATTGATACACAGTTTTCTATAACAATTACTAACACGTTTGCTTATTATTTTTACATATTTATTTAATTATAACTAAACGTCATGAGACACATTTTATTAATATTTTATTGCTTAACTTACTGTATTATTTTCATGCGTATTACGTAATGTTGTTTCACACTTACAAGAAAACTTGGGTGTTACTGTAGTGGAAAAATAAGTAAAACGGGACATGAATTTGGTTTGCCTAAATTAATTATAATAATGAAAAGCAAAAGAGTGTTGCTCCTTGCACCTCACCCATCTCATCCTACACCTCCTGTTTTACAATTTTGTTCTTCATTTATTAAATTTTAATTAAGTTTAATGTGATTTAAACGATGTTTCAAACGGTCTATAACTCCAAAACCCCCATTTTTTTATAAATCCTATATGTGCACCCCTTTTTCTATTCATTCACTTTTTTTACGGTTGTGGTCTTTTCTTCACTTTTTTTTGTTTCACATTTGTGCTTACCTTCTGGAAAGTGATGATATATTAGTGGTGATTTGATCAACTGGGGGTAGTTGTGCTGTGTATGGTGTGATTCTTGGAGGAGAAAGGCGGTGAAAGAGATTCGTGCATTCGAAAGGCATCGAGGTTAGTATATAATATGCCTATACACCCTTATTCGGCTTGCAATGCGGTTAAGATTGCACCGACATTCAGACGCTGGTTATGCATTGCCGCCACCTCAAAGTTCGGCAACCCTCAACCGAACTTCGAAGTGCGGTTGAGGGTGGAGTGTGCGCCTTCCAACTTCGCTTAATACTTTTATCATATTTTTATGTTATTGTATTATGTTTGTTTAATACGTTATATGTTTATGTTGGTGATATATTATGCTGTTTTTTTATACTATGTTTGATATATTATGTTTGGTTAATACTTGGAATACAAGCTCTCGAGATC